GCCAGTGTTAGCAGTGACCATCCATGTACTACTTCTGTTCTTGTATTTGCACCATAAAATCCTAGACTGTGAAGTCTCCTTTCCCAACAGCTGAGGTACAGATGGGTGTAGTGTGAAAGAATGGAGGGATAAGAATAGAAACAAAATGCTATTTTTGATACCATACCCACTCATGATGAGGCATTTGTTGCAGCATGCTTGTGAGGAGATCATCATGCTTTTTCTGGAGACAGAAGGGACTTATACCCTTATCTCCAGGGCTATTTAAATTCACATCAGTGTTTCTATACTTAATAAGTCTGACCCCAGTTATTTATCATTAGAAAAATATCTAAGAAAGAGGTGTTGTTCTGTAGCCCACTCACAAACCGCCACTCTTGCAGGATAATTAATTAAAATTATATTCCCTTGTCTTCAGATACCTCATATTGTGATCCACAGGGCCTTTCTCTTGTGGGATCAGTGTCTTCCTCCAGGGCAAGAGTTATCTCTTAGATCTAGAGAAGTTTTGCGTAAGGCGCAACACATCAGTCTAAGAAGTGATAGTTGCTTGTAAAGAAGATATAGGTTAGAACACAGTTTAATGGTTGCTGCAGATTAGGTAATATGTCAAATCCCAGTTAAAATGAGATATCCTTTTAAATGTATAAAAAAAGCAAATCTTGGATTATGTAACATGTAAACCCAATTCCCTAAGGGTTTAATACAATGCTAGCAGTTTTTTACTTCAGTTTTGTGTTGCAGACCCATTCACAAGCAGTCTGCATGTGTCGTACTCTGAAGCATTTTTGCAGTGCTGTGAGATTATTAAAGAAGCAGTATGATGGTGATGAGCATCCACTTTCAAACCTAAGAGAAAGAATGATATTGGAGACCATCTTGAGAATTGTTTACAAACCTTTAACTCCTACTGAAATTTATTCGTATTAAAGGGCCTTACCCTTCACTGTTGGTGCTGCTTTGGGGATTAGGTGTCAAAGAGTGGACTGACCTCAAGACTTAATACCCCAAAGAGAGGTGGGGGTGGGATATGGCAGGAAGTGAGCAACAGGAAAGGAAGGGGGAAAGGGTATGAGGACAGACTAGGATGCAAAGAAAGAGGCTGGGCTCTAAGTCATGTGGATGTCTCTGGGAGAGATATAGGCTAGACGGGCAGATGTAGAAGGAGGTAGGAAAAGTATGTCCATGGCCAGAGAAAGGACAGGACAGGGGTGGGAATGCAAAGAATGAATAAGAATCAAGGTGTCTCAGCCCCACCACTGAACTCAGGACTTGATTACACTGCATGTGAATACCTCTGAGCTCCCTTGGCTGCACATGTGTGTCACACCCCTCCACTGGCTTTTCTTCAGAGGATGATGGCTGGCTACAGCAGCTGTAGTTAGGGCAGTGGTAGTGCCTGTGCTGAAGTCTGCTGCTGGCCTATCTGAGGGCATGACTGCTCCCACCTGGAGAAAACACTGACCTTGCAGAACAATGTGTTCAGCTGTTAAAGATCACCCGCGTGACAGTTTCTGATTAATAACATGTTGTCAGGCTATTTATTTTTTCTCATTGGATGTCTTATTCTGGATTCTGTGACAAAGGAGATCACAACCTGCAGGATGTTTGTCTTTCTGCCTGCAGAAGTAGGAAATGCAGACCTCTGAATGATGCTGTAAGGGGGTTTCTGGGGTGATCAGAAACAACAGATATTGAGCTGGGGTGGGAAGAGAGACAGGTCCTCAGTCCCAAGTCTGAGTGATTTCTCAGGACAGTCTGGTGAAACCAGGGGATGAAGGAGCAGTGTTTTAATGAAATGATCAGTGAAGAAATCCTGACCATGCCCACTGAGCTTTGAAGATATTTAAAGTATCAGCAGATGCTGCTTGGAATGACTTACGTAGTGTTGAGAGAATCCTCAGGAAGAGAATCCAGAGCTTAACACAGGCAATACTGCTCTGGAGTACTTGGATTAGAGACCTGCCTCTGCCACAGCATTGGTCAGCTGCTTCTTTCAGCTTTACAGATTGTTCATAAAACACTTCCTATCAGTGTTTTATGGTGCTATGATGCCAAATTTGTTGTTTATGCTTCTCAAATGCCTTGGTGGCGGGGTGCCTGAAAACTAAAACAATTATATAGCGATTTATTCTGTTTTATTAACGATTAAAGTATTTATCAATGTAATTGCTGGTTAAACTTGCACTTTGCACCGTATCTCCAGGGGTCTGTCTTGAATTTACCAAGTGTGAGACATTCATTTTTCTGAAATATTTTCTGTCAATGACACTGTTATTATAGGCAATGTGGGTAGCTGTATCTGCCTAATACTTTCCATTTCTGATACTGTTTCCTTATTAATGTAAATATACAAGTAGTGACGCAGCAACCGGGTTCAAAAACATTTGCAGGATCATACTTTTACTGAAAAAGAGTATGCTGTTATAAATTGACCCACCACCATGCATTTCAGTGGAGCTACTTCAGACTCCAGCAGATGAACTTTTAACTTGTTGAAAATCATGGATTTGTGGACAATAGCAGGCAATGAATGTTGGGTTCAACACTTGCATTATTCCTAGTAAAAGTGATTACAGAGGTGAAGATGTTAACTATGAATGGCTACTTCACTGAGATGAACAACAGTAGAGGTAAAGCTATAAGGGCATGATCTCTTGAGCTAGCCTCATCAATACCGTGAATAGAAATTTGTTTCCATTTTTCAGGGTGAGAAGAATTTAGTTTTCCTGAAAGACACCATTGGTTAGAAAGAGAAAGAAGAAATGTCAACCTTTTTGTGAATCTACATAATGCACATTTTCTCAGCTCACCTCCAGGAAAAAAAAAAAAATAAAAAAAATCTACCTAGTATTAGTGGAGATAGACCAATTTTTCCCTGTGAGGCTTAAAAGCCGCAAATAGATGTATTTGTTTTCCCATGAGTTTGATATTAGACTAACAAGAGACCCTCCTGGCCGTGTATGGAGTCAAAACCCAAATTCGTTGAGGTTTGGGGGGAGTAGAAAGGGATGAAAGGGGAAGGAAACAAAGTCAGTGTGCAGTCCACACCTGACAGTGAGTAAAATATGAGACGTGGACAGGCCGTGCCTACTTCAATGTATACAAACAAATGACATATTTAGAAAGGCTGCATTTGTGTAATGGCATGTTTGAAATGAACTTAAAACATCTAAGCCATATTTAGAAAATGACTGAAAAGAAAGAAGAGAGTTTGATATAGCGACATTTCAGGAAAACAGGCAGAAACAGTCTATTGTTAATAATGGGGATTAGCAATTTAATTAGCTCAGTCTTTAATGCCGGAAATTACCTAGTAAAAATGAGACTAGTTAACATTTGCAGGGCACTTAAAATATTTAAATTAGTAAAGGGCAGATTTTCAATGACATTTATATGTCTACTAGATATAATTTTTTCTCTAGATGATTTTTTTTTTTTTAAATGCTTATGCTATTTTCTCCCAAAGGTCAAATGGAAGTTTATTTACTATGGAGGTGTTGAGAGGACTACTGAGAGCTTTTATTCATCTCAGTTCACTTCACTGCCATAGACAACTGATCTCTAATTTCCTGATATTATGATCTTGCACACTGAAGACTGTAACAAGAGGAAAATACTGTGACTTTCTCTGGGTAGCCTATGAGTAACCAAAAGCAGTGATGTTGAATGTGAATTTTGATAAGTCTGAGACATTTTTGATCTCAGTTCCCTAAATATCATCTTCTTGTCATAGTGATTTGATGACAGTAGGGCTAGAAGGCCCAGTCAGGTCATCTGCAGAAATTCATATGGTGAAGAAATAGACTGAAAGAGCTTGAATCGGCTGTATGTGGTGAGAAGCACAAAATCACTGTGGGATACAGAGCTTAGTGAAGTGTTTCTCCATAGAGATCATATTTGTCTGTGGGACAACATACTTTCAAGGTTAGCAGCTGACCTGTGGGTTCACTGACATAATTAAAAGATTATTCTCATTGTACTGTGTTAACGTTTCAGTGTACCTTCAAACCACACAATCTAGTTCGTGTCCTTGATGGTAAATGACCACAGAGGTTTTTATTTATTTGCTTTCTTTGTATGAAAGTTTGTTTTGTGCTGAAGGTAATCTGAAATAAAAATGTACTCTTTTTATATGATTTAAACCAAAATCTTAACAATTCTGTTTTTCAAAGCAGTTAGTTGTTTGTAATTACGTCATCCTGGTATCTTGGTTTGTTAAAAACTGTTTCTTCTCACACAAAAAAAGAAATAAAGCACAGGTTAAGTCTTTCAATCTTTCAGATTTCAGAAAATCTGTTTCAGATTGAAACAGATTTCAATCAAATGTGAAAAAGCAAAATGAACTAAAAAAAAAGACAAAAACATTAAGAATATTGCCATACAAGTAAAATTATGCTTTATCTGGGACAATAACAACTGAAAAATTAAAAAGAGAAATTTAGTTTGTATGATAATGTTCCTTCACGCTTACTTTCTTCTATCTGCACTCTGTCTTTTAAAGCTATGTGAATCTAGCTTACACTGTATGTTTTTTTTTCTTTCTTTTAATGGCTAAGCAGTAAGAATGAAGGGTTGAAAATGGGCCTCATACACAACAGAAGCACTCTCTGTTGAAAAAAAACCAGTGGTTGTTACTTCCTTTGCTTTTCCAAAACAAGTCTTAAGAATGTGTGTGCCATGATTTTTTGCTTTTCAGCTTTTGCTTTATTTGGATTCAGTATTATACATAAAACATTCACTGGTACATTAGTGGAGAGTATTTCTTGCTGTCCTGATGTTGTCTTCTCTGTTCTGCTCAGGCAATGCAGCCAGCGAGCACCTGGTTTGCTTACATGCTCCGTCTTCACAGCTCTTATGTCCTTAAAAGCTCAGAGGGGAGAGTGAGCCCAGCCTCTGAGGTGTTAATATTTGGTCTTGGTCCTTTAAATATGGAGCTTTGGATAAAACCTGTATTTTTCTAACAATAGCTTCTTTTCCCTCCCCCCTTCCAATTTTAGGCTTACTTTAACCTTATCCTGTCCCATGGACTTGAAGAATTTTCCTATGGATGTACAGACATGTACAATGCAGCTAGAGAGCTGTGAGTGTCCAATCGTTTTATCTCTTGAAGAACAAGATTTTACCATAACATTTAGTGGTTAGATAGTATCTACATTTTTTTATTTATGTGGTGAGACTCAATATTCCTATTTTGTAAGGGAAAACCATGGAGGAGCAGTGCTTTAACTGTCTGCCACTGCACTGTGCAGGTCCACTGTCTCGGTGCTATTCTACACTTTCCACCTCCTGGGGCACATCACCTCACCTGTGAGGGCTGCATCACTTCCAGGGATAACCACAGTGATGCTGTGCTGGACAAATTATTAAATCTCAGGAAAATAAGAGCGATTAGTACACAGTGAGGGATCAGCTATATCTGGTTGAGACGTGCTATGGTCTTTTGAAAAATGGAAGCAACATACCTGATGAAGCAGAGGTCTGATAAGTATTCTTATTCTGGTAAGCTAAACGGCCAAGGAGTGTACTTGGGTACCAGCACACACCTGTCCGTACCAAGTAGCTGTCAGCACACGCCATGACACCGTTTTGACCTGTACCAGGTAATAATCAGACAAAACCAGGAGTGGCTCAGATAATGGCATGTGGCAGCAATCGTTCCCAATAGTCATTAGGTACCAAGCCACCATGGGTTTTTTTGTGGGGATGGGAGAACGGGTATAGCTGTATGGGTATATGCTGTGAGCTACCACCTGCCTTTGTGCCCAGAGAACAGCCACAGTTTAATTTACCCATAAAGATGTAGCCATTGCAGTCAAAAAGATACTTTAGTGAGCTGAAGCCCCTCTTCTCTCACCACACCTCTCAGTGATATGTTCACAGGTTTACAAAAGCTGCCTTTTCCTTTTTGTTAAGGGCTCAGCATTCTGCAGTCTAAAAATCCTTTTTTTTGTTGGTGCATGACAACTCCATCATCAAAGAATGATGAAAATAAAGCAAAATGCAGGCTGGTACATAGACATAGAGAAATGTCATGTATCCTTGATGGGCCATAAAATTATTTTTTAGTGGCAAACTAGGGCAGTATTTCAGAACTCAATGATGTTATTTGTTGCTCTTAACAGAGTAATAGTGCAGTAATAGTAATGGGTAACTAACAGTGATAGTGCTGTTGTTAATCAGACAGTTGAAAAATATAATAGTATTTGGGTTTGATGTTTTTCAGTTAGCTACCATCTAACAAACTCTGATTTCTTTATTGTAGTTGGCTATACTATGAACGATCTGATATTTGAGTGGCTAAGTGATGGACCTGTGCAGGTTGCAGAGGGTTTAACCTTGCCACAGTTTATTTTGAAAGAAGATAAAGAACTTGGCTATTGCACAAAACATTACAACACCGGTGAGCATTATTCTATTTTTTTCTGTTATTTGCTCTAATGGTATCTATTGTCAATTTGTAAAGGGAAAATATGAGTAAAATGAAAAAAAATTGAAATTAAAATTTGATTCAGCCACACTTATTTTTAAATCTGAAAAAATGACTTATTTTTGTTTGAAGATTTTATTTCAAAATTTCCTTTAATTTCATTAAAGATATTCTAATATACATATTCTAATATTCTTTAAATTGTTAAGGAGTTTTAAATCTTAAAGAAATGATTAAGAAATCTAGAGTTTTGATTTCCTTAAAATGAAACTTTTTAAACAAACCAAATCTTTTCTTAAATCCTTGAATTTCTTAAATTCATCACTTTTAAAGTACTGATTTCTCTGAACTTCGTTTATTTCTCCAGCATATCAAATCGCCAAATTTGAAAGAACAATGCTTTCACTGCTGATCTGAATAGTGTACAGAAATTAAATGTTGCAAAATTAAATGTTTGTCTAGCACTCTAATGTTCTTTCTTGTATTCACTATTTGGATGTTTCGAATGCTGAGTTTTCTATCTTTAGCTTTACAGAGCGGAAAGGACTCTGTTAAAATTTTGATTTAGCTGCTTGGAGTTTATTTAATAGGGACAGCATTTAGAGAATGGTTTGCTGGTTGCTTGCTGGGATTAGATATAATCCTTCTCATCTAAAATAGCTTTTTCATCGTTTCAGTGTAAGAGCCAATCTGGTTGCGTCAAATGCATTTGTTTCACTCTGTGAAATAACACGAGAGGTTCTGCCTCTGCCCAAAATGAAGTCACATTCATTTCTTATGAAAATAAATTATTTTTTCTAATTTTTATAAACACAACTTCTCATTTTGGGGCCCAAAGTGCCAAGGGAGGAAAACTTTGTGATTCCATATTTCAAGACCAGTGGAAAGGGGGACTGCTGTGCCTTCTCTTCTTTTCTTACACTTAAAGGGGATAATTGAGGGTAAATTCCAATAGACAGATCTTGCCCATTTTTAATTTTGTTGATATAAAGTTTGGCCATTTCCCACCATGTGACTCAAACTCTGAATAACTGAGTGCATCTGCTTTTCTAATTACTGTCAGGTAACCACTTCACAGAGTCAAACACTGAAAGTAAGAGAGGAGAGAGAGCATGGTCAATAGGCTCCTTGTACACCCAGGAAGATTCCCCACAAAGGGTAAAAATGCCAATGCATAGCTCCCGTTACATGTAGTTAAACAAAATAAATGTGCAGTTACCAAAAGTTGAAAGTGTGTAGCCTGGCAAAGGGAACTGAAAAGCAGTATTCAGACAAAATCAACCTTTGCTGGCATCCACATTGCTCTCTTCTCTGTAGTATGCTTCTTCAGGTTTGGTGTAAAATTAAAATGTGGATAAAAGCTGTTTTATTTGGCCTCCTCCAACATACACTGTCCATGTTGTGCCACAGGAACCTGGAGAGCATTCATGAAATTGGGCTACTCTCATGCCATTGCTGCCACACGTGGCCACCCTACCCCTTTCAAGTCCCTTTCTGCATGGGCAGACTGGTCAACATCAGTCACTATCCAGATCTCAGAGTCTGCCTTCAGGTCCAGTCACTCATTCTAGAACTTCTGTTCTGCCAGAAGATATTATTCAGTTCTTCTCCCCTCCTCTCTTTGTCAAACAGCCTCTGCACTGTCATTTGTGCCAACTCTCACACCCTGCGGTTCAGCTCTCTAGACTAGCAGAAAAACATATGTACATTAAAAAAAGGAGCAGAAAATATAATTTACCCTTATAAGGATGAAAGACAAACAGTGCATCTTGACCAACCAACACAAAAAGGGTCCTCTGAAACCATTATCATGACTCTTCAGGAATGACAGACTCTCTTGTACTCAGGTTAGTCAGCCTCGAGTGAGAGCCTCCACAGTACCTAAACCACAGTAATCTGCACAGCAGCACAGAGGGATTGAATTAGTAGCTGATGAGCTGTTGCAGTCCATGACTAGCTCCGCTGTCAGGCAATAGTAAACTTCTGTCCTCTACTACCCCTACGGAGAAGCTGTCTATTGTTTGAAGAACTACTCACCTCCCACAAGAGATTTTTGTGGGTTTCTTGGAGTTACACTTCTTGCAAAATTCAGAGTAGGTTTTGAGTTGATTCTCCTGCAAGACGTAATCCACAGACACAGGCAAATGACATGGCCAGAATGAGAAGGCGTGTGATCCTAGGACTATAAAACTAGTTTACAATTTGTCTGTTTAAGTATGATTGCTTAATCTCATGTCATTAAAAAAGCAAAATGCTGTCCCCTTTTAATATTAAACATTAGATTCAAGTAAAGGAAAATCTCATTAAATTCTGAGTAAAGAAATTTTACATTATATGTTCTGGAGGTGGAACAACCATGTTAATATTTGTTTTCTCAGTTAATGTGAAGAATTGGGCACAGTCTGCTTCAGGGGCCCCATGCGTCCCTCCAAGCTAGTGTGCAACAAATGGCTGGCTTGCCTTTGTGTACCAGGACCTGCTTATAGTCTTGCGTTAGGAAACAGGCCACACATCTAACTTATGTTCAGAAAATAAGATAAAAATGTGCAAAAAGCATTTATGAAAGTAATTTCGTGTTCTAGGAAAGTTTACATGCATTGAAGTCAAGTTTCATTTGGAGCGTCAGATGGGATACTATTTAATCCAGATGTACATTCCTAGCCTGCTGATTGTCATTTTGTCCTGGGTTTCCTTCTGGATCAACATGGATGCAGCTCCAGCTAGAGTCGCACTGGGTATCACTACAGTTCTGACAATGACCACGCAAAGCTCAGGATCGAGAGCTTCCCTCCCAAAAGTAAGGAAATTATTTTGTACCGCCAATTTGTTGTTAACAAGAAAAATTTGTACTACTTTTTGAAGCTTCTGAAAGATCTCTATAAATATGTATCAGATGAGGGTACATGAGAAAGGGGTAACAGTGTGATGTTCAACTGTTGCAATACCCTTGCATTTGAATTGAAGCAAGTTTCTGCTGGTTTGCAGGATGGCTGGAGAGTTCAACAATATGGATTTTTAATGAGTTTCTACTATATTTGATGCTTAGTTTTCAGCATTTAGAAGCCAGGTTTCTGAAGTATTTAGATATCTGACTGGATTTCTGAAAGCACTTTCATGAAAATTGGACATTCTATCTGACTGAGGACTTTATAAACTGTATCTGGTCTTTTCTGGACTGTTAGACTCTCAAAATATCTTGATGGTTCTAGATATGACACTTAGTCATATATATATATATACATAAATATATATATATACATAAATATATATATATGTATATATAAAATGCATATATATAACATGTAGACACCTAAAAGGTTTATTTGGAGAATCTTTCCAGTGAGTAACTGCTTGATGGCAGAATTTGTCCATGTTATCATTCAAGTGTCATCTGCAGACCTTTATCCTGTCTACGCATGAAAACAGCCTCTCACTCCAATTTTGTGGTCTTTTTAATCCGGGCCAGATGCTGTAGATGGGTTTACAGATTACAGACTGGATTCTTTGTTTAGTCAGGCTGGCAGCTTTTTTCAGCATAGGCACAACCTGAATGCTTCCGTTGATATCATTCCCAGCAGAAATTTGTGTGCATGCTCAGGTTTTGTACGATTTTCTGGAAGAGAGCTCAGAGGTAGGTCAGTTTACAATAAAGAGTCACAAGATATACTCCCTGAAGAGCCCTCTTTACAACAGTCCAGCATCACAGCGATTGGGATCATAGCTGCAATGAAAAACACAAATTTTGAGTGTTTGCATAGATCTTGATCCATTCCAAAAGCATGTTATATTTTACTCTACTTTACTCTCAGTATCACATTTAGTCTCATTCCAAATACTGTAATTTGTTCAAGTGGAGCATATATAGGGCAACTTCAAAAACTGCACAGATTGTGTTACTCTTCTGTTGGTAATGAGAAAGTATCACTTAAAAATCTGGTGACTACAACAGTTAGTTCAGCTTCACTTGTTCATTTGGAGGTATATATAATTCTCCATGCAAACTGAAAGCCTTTCTTATATTAACTCAGAATTTCAAATGGATAATTTCTTAAACATTTGTTCAGACAATTCAGTCATTATTACCAAGTGAATACTCTGAAAAGAAAGTCAACAAAAAAGATGTCTTGGAAAGGAGCATACAGACTCTGTAGATAGCAAGTTTGGAGTCCCTGAAGACTGTCTGGATGGTACAACATGACTCCATGTGATATATTGCAAGTTTCTTCCAAATTAACTGGCTTGAGTATTAGAGATGATACAATCACTGTAGTGGAGATTTCCACCCACATTTCAACTGGGCAAACATACCCTGTCAAGAACCTCTGCAGCGTTAGCATGCCCAAAAGGCTAACACTTTAGAAAGACTTTCTGTCGTACACTTTTGATTGGGCTGAAATATTTCTCCCTTTTGTATTTTGTATTGTTTGAGTAGAAAAGTGTTTGCTGGATAATTTTTGGGGTTTCTGCTGAGTGGAAGAAATGGGAAGATCCAGAATATGTTGACTATGTCTATTTGATTATCGGAGAGGTTCTTTTCCAGACTCAGGATTAAACACATTTATCTCAGCAGCTGTCAGAGAACAGTGATGCTCTGGCCATAATGCATTGCCTCCTTTTCTGTTATGTTCCTTTGCCATAAGACAGTCACTGAGGAAAAGTACCTCACCAGAGAGCCCAGCACACTTATTTCAGTCAGGCTACACCTGGTTGTTGCAATTTCACCGCGTAATTCAATTGAGCTGTACTTTACAGCTTTTGTCTCCATATAAGTGAGTTAACCCTTGTGGGGGCTTTTGAAGGTGCACTAGTTGACTTAAAAATATGGTTTTAAGTAAATGCTAACATATCTGCCAGCTGACTCCCACCTTGGATGACTCAGGTCCCTGAAGAAACATGGGACTGACCAAATGAAAATTGCTTCAAAATAGGCTGTGTGTGCATATGTAGCTGTATAGCCATGTATCACCATACAGGTCTCATATCATCAGTATCTGATTCCATACAAAAAGAAACAAGCTTTTCTTCCTGTTGCTGTTGCAGGCACCTAGCTATTTTGAAACCTTATCTGTCACTTAATACCAAAATTGCATTTCTTAATAAAATCTGTCCAGCTGAAATGCATTTAGAAATAAAAACATGAAAAGAATTGAATCAAATCAGTGTTAAAGTCGAAGTCCCAAAATGAATCTTTAAAAGTAATGGGTTTTTAAGTCCTGTCTACGTATTGCCAAGACACAGGAAGTTAGGCTGTCAATAAAACATCCATTTGAAAATTCCTCCAAGCATAAATATCTAACAGAATAAGACATGACAGGAGGGATGTTTTTGCAAGAGTACTGAAAAAACAGATGCAACTTTTCTTTGTGAAAGTAGTCTAGATTTTAAGACAGAAGTTATATATTTTTCCCATCCTTCGTGTCCTGTTCTTATTAACACACATTTATACAACTTTAATTTACCCACTGTGTCATGCCAAGAGTTTCTTCTGATTCTGACTCACCAACTTTAATGGGAATAATTTCTTTACCCAAAAAAAGGCAAAAAAGAATTGTGATAAGATGCCTGGTTAGTTTTGTTTTTTTGTTTTTTTGTTTTTCTTTTCTCTGTTTCCAAGGTACTATCTAAATGATGAAAGTGTTACTGTTTAGAAGGAATTGCCTACGTATTGTTCTCAACCCTGGCATAAGATTACAGGACATGTTCTATTTGCTTAAAACCGCTCTTTTCCATATTAATAACCAATCATTTTGATACACAGATTTCATAATAGTAGGTCACCGTAACATAGACATTAGGCATTCAGTTATTGAAAATTAAACATAAGATTGAGACTGCTGAAAAGTAAAGAAAATTAAAGAAAAGGAAATGAAAGAATGAAATTAATTCCAGCTGAGGCTTATGTTTGCTGCACATAAGAGAAACATCAAGAAAGCCTCTTCCAGATGAAATATAATTATATTTCTTTGATCATTTTTGTAGTATTTCTGTGGAATTATTATCTTTGGAGCATTTTGAAATTTTGAATATAGGGTCAAATTACAATATCAGCAACACAGTAATAAAGAAATCAATATGCATTTTTTTCCTTATTCTTCTACAACATTGATTTATTTCTTACAAAAGTTAAGAATAAATCATGAGAGAGTTTACATCCCAACAAAGCTATTGTTCCGGGAAGGGAGACCTGCAGTGCTTGTTTCAGAAAGCAGAAAGGGTCTCTTTTCCTACAAATTTAGCATAAGCTAGTCAATACCATGTCCTGCTTCCTTCATGGACATGAAATAATGATTTTATGTATAGGAAATATGTGCAGATAAATTTTCACCATGGTGTCGATCTCTTTTACATTGATGAAATTGTGTTTGTTACAGAAGACTAGTCAAGTGTCCTGTAACCAGAGTTACCCTTACTGGCTGTGTTAGGGGATGGTAAGGAACTCATTCAGAAAGTTGGTGTCGAATACCCTCCCTCCAGTTTTGCTAATCCATCACCAGGATGTCCAGGAATGGTGATCCAATATACCAGGGTCCCTGTGACCAGTTCCCCTTCCCACATGTTCATGTATATAAGTCTTACCCACATCTGATACTGTATGTCCAGTTTATTCTGGTTGTGTCATTGTTTACCATGTAGAAACTTTGGCTCGATGAATGTTTGTGCACACAGCTACACCAGTAGCTCTTGCTGATCAGCCACCTGAGCAGAAATCCTGTTTACCAGCTGGGTGATCAGCGTGACTGCACACTCACAATGAAACCCTCAGGAAACCCTGAGCTGTCTATGAGAGTCCTGTGCATGAGCCAGGGAGCTCCCTTGCACCTAGGATTTGCTGGACTTCATCTATGCAGAGAAACTGCGGCACACAAATCAGGAATCTGATGCAACCTACCGTGCTTCCATGCAGTCCTCAGCACATGCTTAGATCCATGCCTTCTGCAAATATCAGACTCACAGCACAGAATAAGCATTTTATATTCATCGGAATATGAGTAAGAAATGTCTGGAAATCATAAGGGGCACAGAGATATAGAATAGGACTTTACATATTTTATGGTCCTAGCTGTCTATAAGCTGGGGGACTAAAAGGAAGGATATCAAGGTACAACAGCACAGAATTATTGAGAAGTGTTAGAAAAGAGTTCTTTTCTTCAGAGCATCGAATGACCATTCTCTTGCCATTCTATTTATTTTTAAACAACTTCCCTTTTGTTGAATCAACAGAATCAAAAGTTTTAAAGCATTTTCAAAACAGACATTTGAAAGAACTGCTGTGCTAGTAATTAGGTATTTTTCAGATTGCTTTCTTCTTAAAACACTTATATAAACCAAACCTTAGCAACAACAGTCCAAGCAAACTAATTACTTTTAATGCCATAAAGCAAAACATTTGAGGATACTTTAAGTCAAGTAAGTGATAGAAACTATAATTTACACAGTTGTATAGCATTCATATTGTGTTAGTTTAATGCACGGTGCTTAATGAATGCGTGTTTCTTCTCCAGGGAGCAAACTGTGCAGAAAAAGAATCTCATTCAAAGCTCACTGAAACCTCTGGGAGTCCTTCCATTCACTTCATTTTCCTTTGGATCACTAAATACATTACCAAATGCAATAATATCATTATATTCTAATAGGCGGAGACTTGCAAACCCAAAGTCAGTGACGTCTATACCCTTTGGAAGTAAATGACTGCTCTTATATGTTGTTCACTGTCCCCAGCATATTTGGAGATGTTTCAAAATTCCTGGGCTTCTGGCAGACCAGTCTGAGAAAGTGACCTCTCCTTTTTTGAATGCC